CCCCCCCCCCCCAACCCCCATAGAAGATACAGCGGGTGGGGGTAATAAAGTGTGAGCAGAAACTGGTACCTGATATATTCTGAAATTTCCGCAGAACTTTAGAAAATCTTCAGCTGATGGAATTGAGGAAATTGTGTTAGGACTTAGGACATAGGGATGGTGTCCCAAATATATAAAGCCAAACTTTGAAGAATAGGTCCCGAATAATCTCCGGCATATAATGGGTATATACCCTAATTAAGGTCAACTCTAACAATTATCTTGCTTGGTTTCTTCAATTTGTGTTAATACGTATAAGATGTGCAATTTGAAATAAAATAATATGAAAATATTTCTCTATCTGTATTCTTCGAAACTGTCTAATGATGGCTGGCAATTTATGGCAAACATGTGCTTCTCCACTGCATAATATTAAACTATGTTTTGAAGTCTTAGATATTCAGAGATGCTTGGTGTACGGGGGAATTTCACAGGTCTTTTATAGGCTGGGTACTTGACAGTGTTAATTGAACATTGTTGACAATGGATAGATGTGATGATACCAACAAAGATTGTCATCCATTATTGTACATATATTAAAAAAAAAAAAAAAAAAAAAAAGGAACAAACAAGGAGCACCTATAAAACTTCAGTGAACCATTCCGCTATCCAAGGGGAATTGTTCAAAAAATAAAAATAAAAAAAGTGTTCTCAAAAACTTCTAGTAAGCGGTTATAATTACATTGACTTTGTGTTATATTGTGTCTATCCAAATTCAGAATGCTAGATATGACCTCAAAATATCAAGGTCAAGTTTGGCCAGTGACACAATAGGGATCATCGACATGAAAACAACCATATCACTAGCTGAGACCCTTAAATAATCGTTTAGTCATAGAGGAGATAGGGGTACAAAGACACGAATCCATTAATTCTTGAGAATGGCGATGATCTTTAGTTGGTTATAGCCACAAGATTCTCCTTTTCTGATCTATAAGCTCAAATTTTATACAGAAATATACATGCATTCAATTGCAAGTAGCCTAAAACAAGGAAATTTCATCAGTTGAAGTAAAAATAACCAAGCCAAGAAGACTAAAGATATAAGAGAATTTGCGTAATTTTCCTTCCATAGTCTGATTTATAATAACACTATTTTCAAAGAATTTTGGCAACAAAGCCAACAACCGATTGAGGGGGAAAAAACACGAGATAAAATCAACTTCGAAAAAATACATGAACCACCTTCTAACGTTCCTAACATCATAAATTATAACATGAACTTCGAAAACAAATTAAGCTACAACAATCATCTTTTGACAATTTTTACGTTATAAATTAGTGATGCCAAAATACTAAACTAATCTATTCAGGAGTTTAAATTGTAAAAGTAAGTTTAGTCATTCAATAACTTAGACAGTTTTTATTGTTCTTTTACAAGGAAGAAATTGTAAAATAGACGGTCACAGGACGTTAGTAATAGAATTAAGGATAAAGCTATTTGCACATCTTTCTTCAACCACTTGGTTGACAGATGGATGATGTGGCAGTTTTACAATAGTTGAATTAAAAGTGTGAGATATGGAAAGTGGTTTGAGATTGTGTTAAGTGTAAATTTGGTAAGCCAAAGTGTAAAAGGAGATGTACATGTGTCAATATTGTAGAATTAAAACCATAGTACTCAGGGATGATGTGATGCAAAGTCTTGTTTGGGCTCCATTTTTTTCAAAAAATGTATTTTTTAAAATTCGTTTTCAATCTCATATTTTTCAATAAAATTATATTATACAAAAATCTAAAACCTTTTTCTTATTTTTTCAACCGCACATTCTTTAAAAATTACTTTCAAAATATATTTTTCCCCAAAAATTCATTTTAATGGATCAAAACAGGGGAAAAAATCTTCATTTTTTAAAACTGAATTTAAAATTAAATTAAGCAACTAGAAAATAATTAACTATCACTCAACAGGAACTCAAGCATTATGAATTTCAACTGTTATTTTTGAATAATTCGAATCGAATTGCTAGGATTATTCGGACACACACTGCCATTTCTTCTAAATAGTTTTAAAAAATTAAAAAACCAATAAAATAGGCAATAAATAAATTCTTCAATATAATTTTAGTACTCATTTGAAATCAGAAAATATCTAGAAATTAATCTTATTACGTTATCCAACTATCTAAATTCTTCCGTATGAAATCCATTGTTGTAATAATTTGCACATTAAACAACATCCGCAAAGCAGCAAAGCCTCCGACTTTCAACCGATTGTTGTAATAATGTTCCAATTTTATGAACTATAGGTGAAGCATAATGGATGCTGAGGTCTTTCAATTTGCTAAAAATTCATCCATCAAATTAAATATTGTAAAGAATCTACATGTTAAAAATAGGGCGTGACCTGAATTATGAATGTTAAATTCTATTCGAAGTCTATTTAGCAAATTTTATTTGAGAGCCCAATTAAAAGTTTGAAATTTGTGCTGGACGTAAAGAGATCAGAATATGGATCAAGGAGAAATTTGATCCACTCACCCATTTATAAATAAAAGTTTCCATA